CTAATCGGTTCCTGTCCGTTGTCGCTTCCGAACATAACAGCGGTTGCTTTTTACGGATTGGATTACACCACTCAATACGGAGTCTGCCCTGCATGTCAGCTCGCAATGGGAGATTTACTGGAGCGCATTAACGCGCATCCGAGTTCGTGACGGCGTGCCAAATGCGGCAATAAAAAAAGCAATACGGTAACTTAATAAGCCACACGATTTATTAAACACAACCGTATTAATGGGCGGCGGGCTCGGGAAATCCGCGCGGCTAAACGAATCAACCCAGACTGAAATGATCGACAGTCTAAACATAATTTCCTTCGCAAACAAGCCAACCTAGAAACTATGTTACAATTCCGCACATTGTTTGGGAATTAATTTGATTAAAACTCAAAATATGAAGTTACAGTCTGTTTTGCTATTTGAAGAAAACGACATCACAAGCAACTTGATTAAAGGCACATATTAAAATTGATAAAGAAGTAGACAATTACTCTAATGGAATGGAACAGGAGACAATTAGAGAATTTGAATATCAAAATTATTTTACAATGAATCTAACCATGTTAGATTTGAAGAGCACAAGTAAAAACAAACGAGCAAGTGTTTTCTCATTGCTAAAAAAATGTACAGAATATATAATAATGTCTTGAGAATTAGCAGCGCCTCTGTGGCCAAAAAACCTTAAATGTTATCAAAACAACGCACTCAATTAATTACGCAGCTGAACATCGACAGGTGTTAAAAATGTGGATACATCCACATACATTGTCTGCTGTAACATTCACCAGCCAAGACCTAACTTTAAAATACTACCCAAAAAAAGAAATTAGAACACACGCATGCCTAATCAAGGAAATTTATCACGAAGTGGATTTTTTTGAACAGGAATTAGATACCAGCGAACGATTTGATTTTGTATAATCAACAAAATTTTGGTTTTGGCATTAAGAAAACTAGACGGCAGTTTCAATTTTGTCCCAGACCTTGGACCAATTTCATGAAACACTTACACAAAAAGACTAACGCTTAGCAACAGCACGTCACAATCAAAACTATCATTTGATCAGTGGCGTAGCCAAGGGGGGGGGGGGGGCGTGGGGAGGGGGTCGACAGCCCCCCATGAAACCTTGTCGCCCCCAGTCGCCCCCCCCCCCCCCCCAACTGAAAAATTCCTGGCTACGCCACTGCATTTGATGTACAGGGTCAGAATGACCTAGACCCAAATTAAAGAAAATATGAAAAAAATATGTAGCAATCATCAAAACAAGTGCAAATGCGATATGCTATAGGCTGGTATTTTGGACATTTGGTGAAAGTTTCATGCATATCCATTGTACCATTTTAAAGAAAAGTACCTGGCAAAGAACACACAATGGAAAAAAAAACACTCTGACCACAGTTCCATGGTTCAACAAATTGATTGAAATCGCGTACTGGTGTGAAGCAGTGTGATACAAAAAACCTAGTCATGGTGACTGACTCACTTGAACTTTATTGACACATTTAAAAAAAAAGGTAAACACAATTCCGTGTGCAGACTGGAAAATGAGCCACTTTAATGAAAATGGCATAACTCCTCACCTCAGCCACTAATTTGAAGGGAAAAAAAATCAAAATTCAAGACAAGACAAATTCATCAAGACAAGATAATTACCATTCATAAGAAACACTCAGTTTTTTTATTTTAGATTCTAGATGCTCTGTGGTGCGATTTGATGCAATTTCTGACCACTTCGATCAATTTTTTTTTTAGGAAAGGATGGTAGTGTACGCAGTGCCTGCCTTAATTGCGACGTCACTTACGGGTTCTTTTTTTTGGGGGGGGGGCATGCCCCCCTTGCCCCCCCCCCCCGGATCCGCCCCAGTGCACACTGATCCTCAGAGTACTTACGTTTGTACAGAAAGCATTTGGGATAACTATGTCTGTTTAAAACTGACGCGGCAGCATTGCCGGGACGTATTGCAAGCCGTGAATAAAGCCATCGAATACCGGGCGAAAGCTGTCAATATGAAACTGGCGCCGCATACCAAATAAGTGATTGTCTTATGTGGGAATTAGGCCCCTCGTCATTGACAGCACATGCATTTCAAAAAGAAAATTATATGTGATTTGAACCAAGACTAGTATCACAATGGCTCGGTTTGTAACGACCTTAATGTTATATCCCGAAACGTCTTCGAGCGAATATTAATTAAAATTCCAAAACCATAGGGTCGTGCGCACATTTATGACCTTTTTCTCTACCCCCCCCCCCCCCCCCCCCCCAGTGGCTTGCGCCACTTTTCAGTTGTGGTTTTTGTGTTGTCATTTGTCACAGAGTGAAAGGCTATGGGTGCCAATCAAGGCAGGTGGGGAAAAAGAGATTTCACCATAAAAAGTGGCGCAAGCCTCTAAACAGACCATTTCATAAAATTGGTCACTGCTCAGTCAACCGTGAATGTAAGGACATGATCAGGGTGTCATTTTAAAGAGGAGATTCAACCCTAACAGAGGATACCTCCCTTTCATTCACATGTGCCCCAACCTCGTCCCCAGTGCTTACTTTATTTCCAACGTTGTTTCCAATAGTAAACCCTTGATAGGAAACTTCCTTCCTGCATACTGATTCGATACCGCCATTGGCTAGAAATGGATTTATATCGTGTACTTGGTGTTGTTATTCACAACGTGAAGTACGTGTTTTCGCAATCATTCGTCCACGCCTTCTCGAAAATATTCATTTCCTTTCCAGTTTGTTAATATTAATATGAAATGTGATACTGCATGTTGTCTCGTTAAGATCGTAACAGTTTAAAATAAAATCATGTTTTCGTAACTCACGCCATGCTCGCGCTGGACGAATTGATTCTGGTTTTACCCCAGACACCGCACACAAAAACAAACGCAAATGTAACGCACAGGCAGGCACCAGACTGCTCCTCATTTGCATACGTGTTCAAAAATCTTGCACATGCAAATGATCCAATACCAGGGTGAGAGAGCAGGTAGTGGTGGGCACGTACTGCTCGACACCCTGGGGACGAGGTTGTATGTGCCCTACTTCTGTTCCAATTAGCAATAATATCTCGGTTGCTTTTTTTTATCTACCCTGTATATCTAATAAAGTAAGGCAATGCATAGTGTCTGCGTCGGAAAATGATAAACTGGTTCCGAACACTATCGAGATTGCATACGCAATATCAAGTGCGGACGCTGGGTTTGTTTCGATACATTGATTCCCCAAATCAATACACTGTATATCGGAAACAAGCCAGCCACACATCGCACGCTGTGTATTTTCTTCTGCACCTCACATGCTGTATCGCTTGCTCAGGAGAGGATCGTCTTTAATATTATTTGCAATTACATTGTTTAGAAATAATAAGTGATCTGTGGTCATTTTCGTCGAGTCCCGAGTCATGCTGATCGAGTCTCAGGCCAAGTTCGAGTCCACAGCGTCGAGTCCAAGTCATTTGTCATCGTGATTCGAGTCCGAGTCCGAGTCACAGAAAATGGGACTCGAGTCGGACTCGAGTCTGAGTCACGAGTCATGCAAGTCAACGATTATGATTTTGGAGGGCTTTCAGCAAAATATATGCCTGCTAAAATCACTCGAAACACTGATAATGATACCTAAGCTCTTCTAAGAAAATTCTTGATTTGACTGACATCTGCACTGTAATATAGTGTCCCGATAGCAGGGAAACCTCATATGCCTGGTTTTCTTTTCTTCAGACGTTGTTGCATAGGCAAGTCATTGTCGTATAGCCCGGGCATTCGACAAGGACGTGATTTAAACAGCGATCTCTTATATCAATCTGGACGATGGAAAAATCGGACACAATTTCAGGAAATTGGAATCCCAGCCAGTCTTGAATTACAATGACGGTATTGATGCCGGGACGGGGTATACGGAAATTGCGCGTGGTTCGGAGCGGCCCTGGAATATCGATCAAACGTCTGGGTGTAACCACACACGAGAAGGAAGAAGCGTGGGTTGATTGTTCGTCCTTTATCGAGCACATTCGCGAAGCAGCATCATAAGTTAAACAGAAACTTCCTGCTCACCCACATTAAAACGAACACGATGTCCAATTCTCCAAGGTACAATCCTCACAATTGATTTACGCATTCCCACGGGAAATGCTTTACCTTTTGGTGCAATTTCCATTGGTCTGTACAAAGTCTCGACATTATAATCGGCCCTACTTAGTAATCAGAGCCTTATGGCAATGCTTTTTGGGTCATTCTATAAATTAAGGGTCCAGAGTGTAACTTGTTCCTGTCCCTGTAAACTTGGTACTTTATAATTTGCCATTCAAGTATCGGTATGGATGACTTAAATTATGTTTAATATTTGTTGAGTAGGTAGTTTGCTATTCATAATCACCCTTGGAGTGGGTTTGAAACCCAGGAACATGGTGTTTGTGTCTTGGGCAAGACACTTAACTACAAGTGCCTCTCTCCACCCAGGAGTATAAATGGGTACATGACAGGGTAGAGGACCAATGCATGTGCGCTGATAAAAGCTGCGGCGTGGTCTCGTGGCCTGATGAACGGGCGAATAATCGTGATGAGCGCTTTGAGGCTGTTGATACGATGGAACGCGCTACAAGCATTACAATTTTTAACAGGGGACAGGAAAAAAATGGACCCCAAATTTATAAAATGACCATTTGAAACTCCGGAACGTCCGTCTGAAACACGAACTTTGACGGACCATGAGCGGCACCAACGAACCGTTACCCGAGTACGAAATCAAACTCAGCATGTACAATAAAAAAAAGAGTAAAGCACTGTTGGGCAATGTTTCATAATTGCCCAACATTGTTATGAATTTACCGCATTGTTGGTAAATTCAGGTAAACATTTACCAACTATTGGTGAGAATTTGCCCAAGAGTGTCAGCATTTGGCATATGATGACCAACATTGGATAACTACCAACCTATCTGTCCAACTTGGTTTTTTTTAGTGCGCTAGCAAACAAAAATGAAAACAGGAACCAACTTTTTCTGGTAACTCACCGACGACGATCGGGTGCAACCCTTTCCGGTGGGAGTAGTAGTGTAGTATGAGCGCGTTGTCGTTATGCCGCCTCTCGCACCTGAAGGACGGCGCCTCCATCTGCTCGTAGGAGAAGCTGAGGTAGGAGTGCAGGGAATCCAGGTTCTCCAGGAAGCTCTTGAGGTTGCCGCCGAGCGCCCGCAGCATCTCGTCGTAGCCGGACTGCTGGCAGAAGCTGAAGAAGAACTCTCCAAACAGCTCCAAGATAACGGGCACCTTAAGACCTAGACAAGAGGAAGACACAGATGCTTTGACCTCAGGGTGTACGACACTACTTATTTAGGAATGGATAACATGAAACAAAGTGATGTGATACTCAGTATGTTGTCAGTGATGGATATAGGGTACCTTAAGACCTGGACAACGAGGAAGACACAGATGCTTTGACCTCAGGGTGTACCACTTTACTTATTTAGGAATGGATAACATGAAACAAAGTGATGTGATACTCAGTATGTTGTCAGTGATAGATATAGGGTACCTTAAGACCTGCACAACGAGGAAGACACGGATGCTTTGACCTCGGGGTGTAAGACACTACTTATTAGGAAATGGATAACATGAAACACTTAAGTGATGTGACACTCAGTTGCCAGTAATGGATATCTGGATTGACAGATAATAACCCGAGACGGATCAGATGCATATCTAGAGTTAATGGTGTCTAGTACACCTGTACAGGAAATTTGTTTGTTTTTTGTTAATGTTTTGTCCCTTTGACTGGCACAATAGGTACGTTGTCATTGGTGGATATCTGGATTGAAAGATAATAACCCGAGACGGATCAGATGCATATCTAGAATTAATGGTGTCTAGTACACCTGTATAGGAAATTTGTATGATTTTAATGTGATGTCCCTATGACTTCCGAGTGGCTATAAGAAACAAATATTCTAAGGAATGTACGAGATACCCCTGATATATCTGTGGGTACAGTTCTCTAAACGTCACAATGCGCTTTCACAATTATGTGAAACTGATGGTTTATCCTCAGATATCATAAGGCTAAGGAAACATCCGATTTGTTGCAAAAATTGCCCCAGTACGTTCGCTTTAAAAAGGTCATCAAATATTCGCAGCAGGTCTTCGACCCCCATCCAGCCGAAGAAAAAAAAAATGTCTGGTACTGAGCCCGAAGAGTCGACTACTGTAATTAGGTGTAAATCTCTGTCGGCGCCGAGATCCGCATCTGATGACTGCGACACCCAGGGGCCTGAGCTGGTCAACAAGCCGCAGATTGCAAGACGATTGGTAGTGATACAGCGTATTAAAAACAAGTCTTGGTGTTGCCATGGGCTCATGATACAGTGATGTTAATGACGCTGTGCATTCTCATTCAACTGTGAAGTGTGAATATAAAAGTCTCATCCTCCATTGCGGCAGCGCGCAATGCTTCTTAAGAATAAGTCAGCGATGAAGCGATAAATTCAATGGCATGATGCTGGTTTGTTTTTTACTTCTACCTTTAAACTGAATACACAACATTTGCTTTTGATGTGATTTTCAGAAATGAATGGATTTGGGAGTTAGAATTTTATAGAAACATGTTGATACAATGACCTGTCTACAGTTCTGTGTTCATAAATGCTGGGAAAACCAAAACAAAAATGGCTGTTCTTGTAGTCTGGTTCCCTGACCCTACTCCAAACGAAACGGAGAAGTTTATAGATTGTCGGGTCAGGGAATCAGACTAAAAGGCTTGACCCTGTTCATGCATGTGTAACCGATTGCAAACAATATGTGGACTAAATTTGGTAAAATGGGGGCAGTATTAACAAAAAAGTTAGCCGACTATCGTTGGAAATTGCTACAAAAAAAATCCGCTTTTCTTAAAAATGGCAGCTCACCAGGTGTTATGATCTCACAGGATGCTTCAGACTATTATTCACTAACATGCAGTCCAGTATGGAATTTCACAATAATTTGGTACTTTATGTTTGCAAACGTTGTATAGGCTACTGCCTTTAAGTCCTGCATGTCATTTGCTTGGGTCGATTCAGTACAGCCTGTGGTTCATACTGTCTCGATTTATATTGAAATTGATCTAACTCGGGTTGTGTAACAGACTCCAATTGCAGAGAAATATAATTGATGCGGGCATATACAGATAATGTGCATTGCGTAAATCATGCATCTACCTGTTTCGCGGCTTTTGAAAACTTTCACAAAACTTCAAAGGCATGCAAAATTATAGGAACCTAAGGAGCCTTTTCCAAGCATTACTGTCAAGTTATCAGTTGACTAGTTTGAAAGAAATCTCAACTGAGCCAATACAATATTGCCATCCCAAATCTTGAGGGTTTTTCTTTAGGGCAGACCGATGTGATAAAGGTTCATACTTACCACAGTTATTACTACATGTAAAATGTTAAACCAATACCTCGGATAGTTTTCTCGGGATATGAATTGGATCTTTAGGGTACATCCTTCCAAACTCTAAACCTCAGTACGTGTGGCAAGGTTCACACCATGTTTTCTTTCTTAAAACGATAGGACTTATTCAAGGGCTATGAATTTGAGAGATTTCTATCGCCGAGTGTTAACAGCTTCAGTCACGATAGGGACCGTATCCGCGAGGGTTGTCATCATTTCCAACTCGTGTCTTCGCCCAAGATTTGTCACCAAACACCCCACTATGAATCCTCGGGACTCGTCTCAGCTGAAACAACCACATGCACTGACAAAGTTTCGTTTGTTGTCACAGACCGCCCAGTTCATCGACACAACGGCTCCAGCATTTTACAGAAGTGCCTCGATAATGTTTTGGCCGAACGCTCTAACTATAGTTTGCGATCTGCATTTGTAAGAGGACTCAATCTACCATTACCTGGAAGGTCCACATATTGGCCTATCGATTGCTCTTGAAGATTGCTTCAGGGCTTGGACGGAGATCAGCATGGTTAATTCCACAACCTGTCCGAAACAAAATCTACCCTGAGAAAGCAGCACCATTGACCCCATCCTCATCAAGACGTGAGCTGGTCACTAATATTCAACAGCAGTTGTTGGGTAACTGTTGATGTTTTATTTGCAACTTCCTATTAGTTTTATCCTGAAAATAACCCCGTAAATAATACAAACAAAAAACTAGAGATTGTGTCACGTGACCCCCCGATGACGTCACCATAACGAAATTTGTTTGGCATACACCTTCAGATAATGATTAATGACTATGGAAAGTTCATCGTATTTTAAAAAGGTTTCAAAGTGGCTTGTAGAATGAAAACGTGTACAAAACCTATGGGAAAAAGTGGAAGAGGAAAAAGAGAAAAGAAAAACAAAAATCTTAACGAAAATAACAGCTCTTCCCAATTGAGAACAGCTAATAAACAGAAAATTTGGGTATTCTCTAAGTAATTAATATTTGCAGGAAAACTCTCTAAATTGAAGTTTCGAATTTAGCTGAATTTCAAACAGTCTTTGACAAAATTAAGAACGGTTGCGCTTACTGGGCACCATGTTGGAAAACATCGAGTGGGGAATACAAATTACGCTACATTGTAAAAATTAGTAAATGCAAAGGACACCATTTGCAAAACATGTATGTTTGCCGATCAAAGGAAAACCCAAACAATAAATCTGAAGCAGGTTATTAAAAAACAAACTTGTTGAAATGTCAGCTCAGTATTTTTTTGTACAAAACTGTGAAAATTCATCTTCATTTTTCTCGACGCAAAGCAAGGTTCCGTTGAAAGCCCTCCCTTCCAATGTTCGTTAATACCATTTGAATTGCACCCTCTTGTGGTATGACCCCCAGTTTGTCTGTCACGCGGGGAAATAATTCTCATTTACATATACAGGGTGAGTCAGAATGATCTGCACCCAATTTAAAGAAAATATTTTTTAAAATATGTAGCAATTATCAAAACAAGTGCAAATAAGACATGTTGTAGGCTGGTATTTTGGACATATTTGGTGAAAGTTTCATGTATAAAAGCGCTAGCAAAGAACACACGCTAAAAACAATCTGACCCCGGTAAACCAAGCTAAATTCGGTAAATTTGAGGCAGAGTTTGAACTAAAACAAGCCGTTTTTTTCCCAGCGATGGTTTGGTCGTAACCATTGCGAGGGAAAGAAGGCAAATGACAGCAGGTGCAATGCTTTCACAGGATGCTTCATCCTATTACAGACCTACAATCAAGTAGGATATTTTATTGAATGTTTGCAAATTGTGTCCGTTACCATTACGGGCACCCCTTTCCCTCACATGTATCAGAACGCTATCAACTAGTGTCATTCACTAGCTGCCCCCACCACGCCCCTGTCCTACGTATTCAAGAAAAAACTATCTGTGGCAATGTGCCAGACCTTGTGATTATTTGGGTCGACATAAGTAAATCATAAAAATTGTCATTAGGGAAACTTCTTTTCTTTTCTTTTTTTTTACCACAGATATCGGAACGCTTCCGCCTAGGTTCTTTTCACTATTACTTTATCCCCCACCGAGCGCCTACCTCTTCGAGGAAAGAAAAAAAAAGATGATTGTTTTCATGGCAATGTACCACACAGCTTGATTGTGTGAGTCGGTATAAGTAGGTCACGAAATTGAATTATAACAAACTGGAAACTAAGAGAAGAACTTCCGAAAAGTCTGTTTCAAATATCTGCCGTCAGATGAAACAATTTGTTTAATGTGGTGCATTTATGATGCAGGCGAACAAACTACCGTTGCGACGCCTGCACGCGATGACATAGATCACGTAATTGAGTGTGATTGTCACTGGTTTGTGTGTGATAGAGTCACGTAGTCCACTTCCGATATTGCGAGCAAAACTAATATCCCGCACGCTTCGTAGTCATACACAGATGAGGTTGCGCAGGTTATGACAAAGAAAATAGCAGCAACTCGATCATTCAATGTCAAAATGAAACAAGTAATAAAGACATTTATTCCCCAGTGCCCGACGATTGAACATGCTGGAAAATGGCTCTTCAGTCACGCATGACGTGGAATTACGCAGTTCAGGTTAGCTGTATTGTTGCCCGATTTAAATTATTTAAAACATGTCTAGACATGGGGTGTATTCGTGTTGAATTAACACGAGAACGGTATTTCTACGAGAACACTATTTGAACAGGATTTTCACTCCCCACTTATTTGGGAGTATATGAAGAACGACAAGAACAAAGATGGCGGACTAAGGCCCCTACCACAATGGAGTGTCATGGCCTAGCTGTTAAGAGCACCGAACTCATGCTCTGGTGTTTCAGAGGCAACAGTGG